TAACGCTCGTACTTCGAATTGATTTAAAAAAAAAATTAATAATAATCGATAAACAATTTGCGTTAGTTGATGTTGACATATTTGATTTATTTTTTTGCATTTTTAACTTTTAATATTCTTGAAGTTGTAACGAAATAATACAGGTACTTGTTATTTATATGTCAACGTCCATCACAAATATAATAGCTGCAATTTAAATATATTTTTTTCAGAATTAAATTACTTAGTATAATACATTTATTTCTGAGAAACAAAAAAGGCAAGAAGTTGCTGAACATAAATTATTATCTCTTAATGTATTAATTTAATAAACATAAAACACCAGATATAATAGATTACTTAGTGTTTCACATCCATACCTATAGTTTATTTAAAGTTAAAATTTTTAAACAAAGAAATTATATAATTAACCAAAAAAATATCATCATTTTAAAAATTATTTATTCATAAAAATTGTATCTGAATATAAAAGTGAGTCTTTAGAAAAGAAGAAGAATATAAAATCCTACAATGTATCAATTAGTGATCAAACATTATGGTTCTGCATCGAAAATATTTCAATTATATCAGCCGTATTTATCTATATACTCCTATTTATTAATCGAGATGTACAGTATATGAATATATGCTTATGCTTTAATAATTTTAGGTCAGTGAAAATTTCGACTAATACGATGTTTGGTGATCTGGTCTATGTATCATGAATATACACAACAGTTTACCATTTAAATTCCTAATTTATTTTTGGACTTATTTTAATAATTTATTCATAATGTTATTAAATGACATTATCTATAGTCTCTTTATAAGAATTACGATATTTGCTAATCGGTATACTCCATAAAATATAATATTTTATAATTGAGCACTTCTAAATACGGTGCAAGTTTAAAACGTAAGTACATAATTAGTACTTATCATACTTATCATATGTTTAATCTACGATGATGTATTATAATTTATTATTATATTGTGCTAAATTTGTCCACGGTTATAGACTAATGTTATTCTACGTATTAATATTTATAACAAGTATAGATAATTTCAATAATTATTGTTTCATAACACCGATTTAACTGCTAATAGGGTTATCGATGTTTTTAGACGTAGTAATTTATTTATGTATATCATGTACATACTCACTACTTGTACACTGATGCTGCGAGCGAATTATTTCGTTCCATTAATCAAACCAGCTGGTTGTTTTCGCAAAATCATACTGTAGTAATCAAATTCTATGTATAAACTTAAATGAGTAGCCGTTGTTTCGTCAATCTTAGGAAATATGACTGGGTTCATAATTAACTAACAGAGATTTTTATTTGATTCTATTCTCAATATTTTTTTTTTATGAAAAAATCTAATAGTACATCGGAAATTTCAAAAGTAATACTCAGGGTTTAAAGTGGGGGACGGGACGGGGGAAAAGGAGACTCAGCCCTCTACCTTTTACCACACTTATAAAGCGTTCTTTTTAATATTTCTCCGAAAAGTATATTGAAATGCTCAACTTTGGCTTTGCAATTTAATTAATTTTACTAGATATTAAACAGATATTAAACAAAAATAACTAATAATATATATAAATTATAAATTATATAATATATATGATTATAAATACGTTTTTTTAATATATTTTATTTTATTAAAAGATTTTTAGAATCAGTTATTTAAAACAATAAGTAAGTAATTTACAAATTTGTATATTTTTACAGCACATGAATAGTTTGTGGAGGAAATTGTTCACTAACAATACCTCATAACATATATTTACCTATTTATAATTAATAACCTTGTAATTGTATAGGACTATATGGAATGCTGAAAATAATAAATGGATTACCGTCCCCCTGCTATTTTTACCTTATTTACAACATATTGGGGGCTTGGCATCCCTCCATGTGTACATCTATGAATTAGACTACATAGAAAACTAACAAATAAATGAAGAACTTGACGGGGAATATCGGAAACAACTAGGGCTATTTCATCTTTCATATTATGTTTTATTTCTCCATTTATATGTTCTATACAAAAAATAGGAACCTTGAGATATTATTTGTGAGGCTGGACATTTATTATTGACACACGTAGCAACTTCCTCTCCTCGTGAACACTATTTAGTAAAATAATATCGATCGACACGAAATACATTATAATTATTAAATCTAAATTCATTCGTATGTATTAAGTCACATATCCATGTTTCAGCTAAAGCGAAGAAGTCATTATTCAAATACTTTGAAATTTATTAATGTGAAATAGTAAATTAAATTTATTCGGGGGTCCCCTTACATTTTAGTACATGTCGGAAAAAATATTAACATTATTAAAATAAGACAAATCATGGTAGTTATTTACAGAGTTTAAATATACAATAGTATATTTTACCTTGGGGTTATATATTAGTTTTTTTAAGTAACTAAGGGATTCTGATGATATATTTGATGAACCAACCTGTACCATCTTTATCTCATTTAGTCTTGAGTAGGAAACTGATGGGATTTTCCAGTAGCTTTATATGAATTTCATTTACATCCATACTAATTAAAATATCCTCCTAACGAGCATTGTTACAGATTTTAGATTTGATACGTAAAATACAATGTATGGACTTTAGAAGGTGAGTTAAGTTGTATCAAAATAGGGCGTAGTCTTATTACCAGGATAACCCAAACGTTTCGCACTTGACTTTAATATTGGACTGTATAAATCTTGAAAAATCTTAATTATTTAGCAGTTCATTCTATAAAAACTTCGGATATTAAATCCGTCGCGTTAATTCGAACGAGGTTATTTTCTTTTATTATTGTCCTAAATATTACGAGATTCCTTAACTAAGTCGAGATCGGGCAGTCGATTAGGTAAACAGGATCGTTCTGACTTTATTGAATCATTCGCACATAATAAATGTACCTATAAATATATCCGCTATCAACGTACTTTATATTAAGTTTATTTGTCTATGCTTCAGTTGACCGGAATATTCGATTCATATCGGAATATCAATTATTTAGCCGCTGCTCTACGTACAAAAAATATTTCTAGCTGTTTCGACGAGACGTTTTCGCCGCGTAGAGGTCGTCGCCGTAACGGGTAATAACGATTTTCGAGAAAAATGACACGGCCCCGATCAACTGACAGGGTTTCTGGACGGATTTCCGTTGTTTTGTGGGGGCATTGATGTTGGTCGCAGCGACGGTAACACTACTTGGTACCCGGTGAAGTAGGATATTGCCAGAGTCGGCTAACGGGAGTGCAATGCACCGGGGCCACAAGCTAACCAAAATCTAAAACTGAAAATTGTTCGTTCCGTCATTTTTTATTGGCTTTTCATCAAACGCATTTCATTCGACAAATGTTAACAGTGCATTTAAAAACCAAAAGGTCTAAACGTGCACTCGAAAACTGCGGTGCACAAAAACGAAAAAAAACGCTACTTTTGCGGAGAACTATTTTTTTTTGAATTTTTCGTCGGGAAACCTCTAATTGGTATTCGCACGCCGGCCCCGGCTACTCCGATCCGGACATGGTAACGATTGTCGGTTGCCAGTCGCGTATCCTGACGGGATCGAGTGCCGCGCGCGGCGGACCCAGGAGCACGATGGCGATCAGCGGCGCGTGCCCAACAGATCGATACCGCTGGCGTTTACCCGACGTTTGGTCCGGGCGACGACGGGTTTTCGCGCGCGCTACGAGAACCACGTACAGCGCGAACGTACGCGATCGATACGTAAGCAAGCACGCGCACGCACGCACGCACACGATGTCGATGTGTCTGGCGGCACATGATAACGCGACATGTGTGCGTGCGACGCGCGTTCGTGGACGACACCGCCGGGACGACGTGTTGTCGGCCCGTCGGCAACGGTGATGATGGGGTACATTTGAAAAAAAAAAAAAAAAAAAACAATGTTTTAATTGTTATTACCGTTTACCGGGGGTGGCGTTGCGCCTACACTTTCGCGCTCACAGTACCTCCGCGAACGACGCGTTTTGCGGAACGTGCGGCGAGGGGGGAAAGGTTACCAACCCGCGACCGTTTGCGGACGCAACATTATAACATGCACAGTACTAGTTATAATAACAACAACAACAACACGTGTGTATTAAATATTTTGCGCCGCACCGTCGCCGGTCGGATACGTCGAAAGACGATTTTACGCTGTTGCGCATCGATTGCATTGTTGTTTCACAGTCGATGTGAACGCGCGTCGTTGTCCGAAAGCAGTGGTTCTCAGAAACGTTAACGCGACCGGCTAACTTCTTCTTGAGAAGGATCCGCGCGTATCCGTTCGCTGACGACAGCGGGAGGTACGCGCGTCCGGCACACCATCGACGTCCGTCCCGCGATCGTACCGAGGGCACTTAGTACTTAGTGGTCGAGTAGCCGTATGTTTCGAAACCGGGCGCAGCCGACCGACCGCCGGAGTCCGAGGTCCCGAGGACGAGATGATGGCGCATTGTCGCGGGACGCATAGGCGCGGACAGGCGGGACGACAACACGGTCCGAGGACCGCTGCGTAGTCGCTCGAGCGCCCGGACACGTGTCGGGGCGGTAGGTACGGGGCACGCGCGAACAACCGTCTCCGAGATCACGGAGGGCTACTGAGGCGTCCACGCGAAAAGTCGTAGCCGCTAATGCTCGGAACGATATTACAACGAAGTGAACACACAAAGTGAAAAAAATACAAAAATCAAAATCAAAACGAAATCATCAACGAGATCTAGTCCCGTCGAGGTTGGCAACAGTGGCCCGATAGTATGTGCCATTGGTGATCATGCGTGTTTTCGTTCACTGAAGACATCTTCGTGTCCGCCGCTGCTGCCGCCGCCGCAGCACCAGCAGCACCAGCACCAGAGTGCCCAAGTGCTGCTGATCGTGGTGGTCGCTGTCGCTGTGCTTTGCCTGTAGCGCCGCCCTTCCTTCGCCTCCAATTCCGCGTTCCGAAGGACCGTGTCTCGTCGTCCCGTCCGTCTCGTTTTCGACTTTCCGATGCGATCACCACATCCCAGTACGACGCCGTAGCGCTCGGTGGTCTACCGGCCATAGCGAATTCACCAGGATATGATGACTGCATGAACTAAACGTAAGTGACCAGCAGCGAACCACACGCTTTCACCCACCAGCCGTCCTAGCACTGTTTGGTTCTGGCCCTCCAGCAGCTCCTTGTTGGTTCTGTGGTTCACTACGGTCTCTTTATTGACCTGTAAGCTTTTGATCCGCATGGCAGTGTTATCTAATCTGTTTCTGTCACTCCTGACGATGGCTTGAGCTTTCACTGTGTTTTGGCATGTTTGCATTCTACCTTGCCTTTGCATCACATTACAGTATTACACCATTGAAATATTTTTGGCAGTTGGCATTAGTTCCCAGTTAAGCTGTGGTATTTATACCGTTTGTGCAATCTGTGTTCAGTTTAGTTTAGATCTCTAAGAAGTCTTATCGTTCAATCGGCAGTTGTTCAATTATTACACATAATAATTTTAAAAATTTGGTGATAGTTTTTTTTTCACTTGCTCTGTTTCAAGATATCCAATAAGTTAAAGTTTGAACATTAGCTATCAAATGTATTTACTATTAAACTTAGGACGTATATATTCTAAAAAAAAAATTTTTTAAATTTTTAAGTTCTTAATAAAAATAAAAATTATCAATTAATTTGTTCGAATTTATAACAATAAAATATTTTACAATTGGAGTAAATTTTTAATCGTAATCGATTAACAATATATAATTAAATTATAATTTTTAATTTACACATATAAGTATATATTTTATTTTACATAAATATTTTTAAACATAATATTGCTGGCCATTAATGGTCCTCTCAGTATGTTAAAAGTTGTATAAAAAGTATATTATTCAATAATGTGTTAGTTTTGTTCCGGTTTCGCTTTATAAATTTATGGCAACCCTATTGAAGATGATAAAATACAATTTTTTATACAATCATATGATAGGGTAAACATTCAACTATTTAATGCAATCTATATTTTACATACATACTCGTTGTAAATTAATATATCTAGTTCAACCATTTGAATCGGTACATAACTGATAATATGTCTTAACAAATGTATTGTTATCTCACATTTATACAATGTTAAATAGACTTATTTAAACGTCTGAAGAGTAGGATTTTAATGATGTTGAATTTATATTTTCATTAATTTCTTACATATGCTTAGTTAAAATTCCTTTTTTTTTTTAGACATTTTTGCCAAGTTGATGATCAGCACCATGAATCACATGAAAGATAAAAAACCTTGTAGACCTGACATTCAAGAGATATTATCAAGAATGAAGAATCGTTTTATCAATGAAGGAGATTCTGATTCTGATGACTGTGTAAAAGCAGAAAATATTGTGACAACAACAACTGTTGTTGAAAGTATTGTAAATGAAACTCCTATAGAAAAAAGTCCTGATGATGAGATAGCAGAACTCATGTTAAAATTGAATGGGCAAGTAGATGAGGAGCTAGTAGCTAGTATTAGATCAATGAAAAAAATGTATGAAAACCAGTCTATAGTAGACAGTACATCATTAACAGATAATTTTGATGAAACCGAACAGGAGAAACCTAGAATTATTTTAACGTTGAGACCAAATGAAAATAAACCTGATACCTATGTTAGTTCCACCAACCTTACAGATTACAATTCAAATAGCCCAAAAAGAAAAAAACAAATAAATGATGCTAATACTGAAATTCCTCCCCTTAAAAGGTCTTCAAGAAGATCTAATGATAGTAATCAGTCAGTGTTAAAGTCTGCTATTGCTCGTAAAGAAAGAACATTTAGTATTGATGTAGATTCAAAAAAAAAAATTCCAAAAAAAGTAAAAAAAGAACCAGAAGTCACAAATGAAGTGGTTGCTCCTGTTAATATAAAAAAAACTATTGAGAATGATATCCAGGACATTAAAGAAGAAAAAAATGAAGAGAGTACTTGTGATCAGAAAAAAAAGAAAAAAAAATTTTTCAGAGGTGGACGATACAATATTTTCAAGAAAAAATCTTTACATAAAGAACGTCAAAAAAATGTTAAAAAATCCATTTGTAATCAGATAAACTCAGATTCTGGACATTTTGATTTAGATTCATCAGAAACAAATTCAGAAAAACATTCTGCTTCAGGTATGCTAAGACTGATTTACAGAATCGTATTACCTATAGAACTATTATTATTCAGTGCATTTTATAAGGAATTTTCACTGGGCAACAAAAAATGTTTTTCTCAAAATAGTCAATGTATAATACCATAGTATGATTATAGTATTACACGTTTTTTCGCATTATTTCACTCAATATTTTAAAATACTGTCAACAGAGTATAATTACTGGGCGACATTTGTGTCGCCTAGTTAACTAGTTAAAAAATGCACTGTTATTATTTATTATATATTCATCATTATATTATTATTATATATTTATTATTTAATATAATTATGTGATTCTTAGTTTGTAGTGACATTGGTACATTAATATCTAGTGATAAAAATTATCAGGACGATATGGATACTAATTTATCTACTATTGATGTTGAAGGTATTTATAAATGAATAAATATTATAAAAACTCAATTTTTATTTATTACCTTTTATTAGTAAATTAGAAATAAGAATTAAATTAAAATAAAACTGGCCATGTTTTATTTAATATATTTATATTCAAAATTCATCTTGAATATTAAATATAATTCATAAGTTAACTAATATTAAAAAACCTTGGTTTTAAATATTTTCATGTATTAAATAGGTGGGGGTGGTTTAATATATTTAATATAAATTCAACTAAATTGTTATTTTGTGATTAAATTCTTTAATTTTTTGTATTTTAATAGATAAAATAAATGAAGGTACTTCTGATGTAGAAGACAGAGATTTTCAATTATGTTTATGTGAATCAAGTATTGATGTAATAATAGTCGACGAAGGAAAAATTTCTTGTAAAGCTGAGGATTGTATTGATGGAAAATTAATAGCGTGCAAGAAATTAGCTTTTCATCTGGATGAATATGGCTATATGCCTATGTTAAGAGCAAATGTTGCTTTACCTTTTTCAACATTTTGTGAACATCACATGAATCGTTTCTTTTTACATCATTGTTGCCCACGTTGTGGGAAATTTTGTTCAGAGGTAAATTATAGTATTATTAATTAATTCTTACTATAATTTTACTTATTAATAAGATTATATGTATCTAATTTTTAAATCAACCATGTATTCATTTAAATACCATTTTTGAATAGTTAATTTATTTTTGCACACAATTTATTATAAGAGTTTATATTTGTATTAATTTTAGAGAATATAAAATATGCTAATAATTATCCTTTTTTTATTAGGGTATATTTATGATGTGTAAAAATAAACATTTTTCACACATCGGTTGCCATCAAAAAGACAAAGCTTGTTTACATTGTGGTGTTATTGATGTTTATGACATAGAGTTGAAAAGACATGTAATTAAACATAAGAAAATAAGTAACCATAAAAAAGATTCACCCAATGTGACTGTAGAAGTAGGAAGTATGAAATTGACTACTGTTGATTGTCCACCAGAAATCGATGCAACTGAGTTATCAAAATATTTGCAACAACTTAAAGATGAAATTATTAATCCTAAACGTACTATGTAAGTTATTACAAATTATTTAAAATAATAATTATTGATTATCGATGCATAATATAACATTAAATTATTAAAAATATAAATTGTTGTAGTTTAAATAATTATGTAAAGCTTAGATAAATTATTTTATTATAAAATATTTTTCACAATTGTAATAACCAGGGTTCGGATATTTTAGAAAAAATTATTATTATTAGCAAAATTATAAACTTAGAGTTAGTAGTTCTTAATAATTTTTAGCATTGAAATAAGTTGTATTTCATGTCTGCTTTTTTATTATTTAAAAGAAATTAATTTATTAAATACTTATAATTTTCATCATAACTTTTTTATTAAGAATAACAAATAATGATTTCTATTATGTATTTAAAATTTATAGGTACTCAGTTCTTGGACTTTATCAAGCTTGTGAATCAAATGATATAAAAAAAGTTATATCGATTTTAGGTATAGTTGAATTTTAAATATATTTAATCTAAGAATATTGATAGAAGTTAAAAAAATTTTTTTTATATTTTAGGGGCAGAATGCAATCTTTCATATAAATTTCCCAGTAATCATAATCGAACAGGGTTACATGCTGCAGCTAGTAATGGACATCTTATGATTGTGTATTTATTACTACAAGCTGGTGTGGACCCAAATTTGGTTGATAATAAAATGAAATCGCCCTTGAGGATGGCTGCTAAATTTGGTCATAGTAATGTTCTTCAATACCTTTTAAATTTTAATGGAGCTCCTGAGATACGAGTAATATAGATATAATTTTCTGTTGATAAAATCATTGTTAATTTATTTATAATTATATATTATTATTTAAGGATGTACAAGGTATGACTTCACTTCATCTAGCTGCTAAAAATGGACAGTTAGAATGCTGTAAAGTTATACTAAATAAACGACCGTCTATGGTGAATTGGAAAGATAACGGAGGATGGACTCCACTTGTATGGGCTTGTGAAAACAGTCATATTGATATTGTGAAGTATAAAAATTAAAATATCAAAAAAAAAAAAGAATGTTATTAACATTAATTTTAATGTATGGTTAGATATTTTATGACTCATAATCCAAACACAAGAATACCTGATGATGAAAATAATGTTGCATTACATTGGGCTGCAGTTTCTGGATGCCTTGGAGTTGTTAAACCTTTGGTAGAATTTGATTCTGAGGTCAATATGTTTAATGATGCTGGTGACACTGCATTGTAAGTATTAATGTTGAAATGTTAACTTCATTATTATTTTATTTTATGCCAACTTTTATTTATGTTATCTATATTTTATAGACATATTGCTGCTCGTAAAAATGCTGTTGATATAGTATCATATTTATTAGAAAAGGGTGCTATGGCATGGCACAAAAATGGAGATAAAAAAAAACCTATAGATTACTGTACTCCGGGTACTAAATGTTATAATTTGCTGAAAAAAGTTCTACCAAAGCAACGTAAACCAGTTTCTTTTGTAAGTCCATTACTTACTCTTGACTCAGAATTTGTTAAACGAGAGTTAGAAACAAACAAAACTCCTGTTTTTGTCAAAACTACACCTGTTCTCATATCTGAGTAAGTTAATTATTATATTTATACTATAAATCAAGTATATTAATTATTTATTATTAATCTGTTCATAGAGATATTACTCATGGTTGTGAAGATGTTCCAATTAAATGTGTAAATGAAATTGATGATGAAATACCAATAGAATTTACATACATTAAAGAGAACTGTTATGATGTAGGGAATTATGTTGATTCAGCTATGTCCCATATAGCTGTTAGTTAACTTTTTTGTCTATTTTATTTTTTTTTAAAACTTGAAATTTGTTACTTTGTTATTTTTTATTTTAGAGCTGTAATTGTGAAGGTGCTTGTAATACCAATGATTGTAAATGTGTACAAGCCAATGGTGATTGTTTGTATGATAAAAATGGATGCTTGAATTCTGATTTTGATTATTTTAGTGAGTATAATATTGAATTGTAATATTGTACTACAATTCTATGTCATTATTATAAATTAAATATTACATTTATTTTTTAATTTTAATAGCCATAATTTTTCATGCTTATTTTGCAGGCCCGAGTGCTATATTATATGAGTGCAATTTGCGTTGTAGGTGTCATAAACAACGATGTGGCAATAGAGTTATTCAAAAGGGTATAAAAGTAAAATTAGAATTATATAAGCATAAAGATATGGGATGGGGTGTAAGAGCACGGCAAGCCATACCTCGAGGAACATTTGTATGCGAGTACGTAAACATCAAAATAATAAAGTAGTGTATTCTTAAAATGTAATTTATTTTAAGGTATGTTGGTGAAATAATTACTGATCAAAAAGCTAATGATTTAAAAGAAGACTCATATTTGTTTAATTTGGAAAACCCTGTAAGTAGACATTTTTTTTTTTTCATTTACAAAAATATTAATCATTTAGTTTATAATATTAAGATTTTCACGTCTAAAGATTTTAATTCAATTTCAGGGAGCTACTGAATTATATTGTATTGATGCCTATAACTATAGTAATGTATCTCGTTTTATTAATCATTCATGTGATCCAAATCTCATGTCTGTTCGATCATTTATAAATCACCATGACAAAAGATTTCCCAGAATTGCATTTTTTGCAGTTCAAGATATAAAAGAAAATGAACAATTAAGGTAAATGTAACTTGTACTGCAATAATATGCTAATTGTGTGAGTTAAATTATTCTAATCTGTTATTATTGTTGAATTATAGTTATGACTATGGTACTACTTTCTGGAAAATAAAAGGTGGTTTGTTCACTTGTAAATGTGGTAAATCTAACTGCAGTTTTTCAGAAGAAACTATAAAAAGTCTTCATATTGACTCAGATAATGAAGAGGTAGAATTGGATAAAAATATTGAACAAATTAAAAATGAAAAAAAATATTTGGCGAACAATAAATTATTAAATCAAGATATAGTAGAGACAAATAAATCAAATAGTAACTTGCTAAATCAAAAAACTGAATTATCTAAAAATAAAAATTTACTAGGACAAAACACTAATTTCAAAGAATTAGATATTAACAAATCCAAGCAAAAAAATGGATTATTAATTGAAAACAAATCTATTAATTTAAATGTGAATAAAGACAAAGAAGAAAATAAAAATATACCTGAACAATTGCGTAAGGAATCTGATGGTCATTCAAAAAAAATTCTTGAATCAAAATTAATTCAAAATAAACCACAAGCTGTGTTAAATACGCTAGATAAAAAAAAATTAGTTGATAAAATGGTAAAAGGAAATGCATGTCAATTGTTGATCAATAAAAAACAATCATCCATAGAATCTATGGAGGGAGACAATATTTTTAATAGCAGCAAAGTGATCTCAGAATTAGTTAAATTAAGCAAAAATAAAGCAATTACCACTTATGTATTAAGACCTAAACTTACATCACCTTGTATTTTTGAAAACAAAAGAGTTGTTGGTGTCCCACCTGATACTTCAAGTTTTAATCAAAAAACAACACAAGAAGGTTCAATTGATCAAATTATGAAATTTATCAAAGATGAACCAATTTTTAATGATTCTGAAACTGAATTGAATATAATTAACGGGGAACATCAATCTGTTGATTGTTTAGGAACACAGTATACATCTGAAAAAAAAGCTTTAGATGTAAAACAGAATCCTAAAATAGAATGTTTTCCCCGTACTAATCGAGATAGTTAAAAATCAAGTGAATTATTAATATACAAAATTTAAAAATATATTAAACAAGGAATTCATGTTTTAATTTTTAAAAATTAAGATTTATTTATTATTTTGGATTTATTAGACTGATAATTTGTATTTTAATTTTTATACTGATTGAATATATGAAAGTACAAAATTTTACCATAGAAACAGCTTTAATTGATGTAGTAAAATATTTTTGGAGTCAACTTTAATGATTGAATATATCTATGAACTTAATCTAAAGTATGTCTATTAAATTAAATATTTATTTCATTTTAAAGAATTTCAGCATTATTGTGAAATATCAAAATATGTTGAAGTTTGTACTAATAATGGAGTATTGTAAAGATTTTATTAAAATTAGTTTATTTTATGTTTAAAATATTTTTATAGTTGCATGCTTTCGTTTTGTGGTTTGAATGCCACTCTAGTCATTTGGTCTTCCTAATTTAGTGAATTATTGTAAAATAAAGTTGGATTCTTTAAAAGTTAAGTTTAATTTGTTTTTAAGTTATGCAATATTGTTCCATATTATTTTTAAACTTTCCTTATTAATTTGTAAATATAATATTAAGGTCTTAGAAAATGTTGTTAGTTTTTCTTAATGTTTTTGTTTTATTTATTTATTTTTAAATGTGTCTTATAATTTGTATATACTTTCAACGTGTTCAATAGGTAGGTTATTTAAGTTTTAATATTAGCCTTAAATATAAGGTCTTTAAATTTTATAAAAATATTTTTTTTTATATTTTCCTAAAAAATAATATTTATTAAATATTTTTTTTTTGTTTTATTTTTTATTTTGTTGCTTTTTGAAAAAACTGTCAGTTGTTGATTTTATTTACTTTTAAGATGATTGTTGTTGTAGCTATTAAATTATTAATTACTATCCATTTATTTGTTTAAGTGAACCTATTTATCTAAATAAATCTAAACTCCATGGCGAGTTAGTACTTTTTTTTTTATTCATAAATATTGCTGTTAATTTTTTTAGTTCAAGTAAACTGTTTATTATTTAAAACTGACTAAATTGAATATGTATTAGGTAACAAAGAAATATTATACTTTATGATAAAAATATCATTAACTATCAAATATTCTTGTCTTCAATACAAAATCAATATCAAAGAGTTACTAATGTTTTAGCATGAGATATGGTTTTTCTTAAAATTTTAGATTTTGAAGTATTAAATGTTTAAAGCCTTATAAGGTTATAACTAACTGTATTTGAATATTAAACACTAATGACAAACATGTTGTTTATAATAATATAATTATATTAAATTAATACTATTAATGTGGTACAATGAACGATTGTGACCGAGTTCATGGATTTATAAATATAATCATTTATTTATGATTTTTGGGACAAACATTTATTACATGGGACACATTTGTAGAAGAGGTTAACTTTTTTTTCTAAAAGAGAGAACATCTTGGTATGATGCAGTGGTGTAATTTTAGTTTTTGATAGGGGGGGGGGCAACATTTTGAACCGGCTCATACTACCGGGGGAAATAGAGTTTCGCTCACACGTTTTAACTTATACTTAAGGTACCTACGTATTTTATTTATTATATTATTATACAACTTAAATCTTTGTTTTTTATAAACATTACCTAAACAAGGTTAAATGAATCTAAGCTGTAAGTGGATATCTTCCATTTTTCATTTTTGAAAATACATCTACTGTATCATCTAAACTAATTTTGGCAGTAATATCACTTTCAACAGCTATAACCAACAAATTACTCAGACGATCATTTCCCACTGTCAAGCGTAGATAGGTTGTAATTAATTTAAGGGAAGAAAAAAAAACGTTCATTGGAAGCAGTTGTTACACGCAAAGTAAAAAAAATATTTATAATTTTAAGAATTTCAGTAAAATCTTTAGGAAGTTCATTTAAAATTTTAGAACTATTATTGTTGATTTAAAACAATAATTTGATCGATTATGTTTCCAATCACTAAGATAAATATGCCCTGTTTAAGCAAATTAATGGATTCTAAATAAATAATAATGCTCGGACAAACAGAGTTATAGCAAACCTTTATTATAAAGAAATAAAATTATACTTTAATTTCAATCAGAGGATTTAAAAATTTCAAGACATTTTATGTAAAGTAATGAATTTGATTATTATTCCATTAAATATTTAATGTATAAAATTAAAAAAAAAAAAAATTATAAGTGGTTATCCAGCTCTCAAAGGACACCTCCTTTAGATTGAAATGATTCAAAATCCAGGTTCTGAAAAGAAACATACCAGATTTATTAAGATAATTTATATAAATTAAATGAAATTAATTTTTATACCATTAAATATTCAAAGTGTAGAGTTCAGAAGGAGAAATGAAAAGGGGATCCCCGGCTCCCGGAGGAAAATTGATTTGGGTCGATCCAAAAAAAAAATCCAGGTTCTGAAAAAGAAACATAAAAAAAAATGAATTTAAATTTAAATATTATGAAACAAAATTAGATTGATTGATTTAAATTGAATTATATGTTACATTTATAAGCACAATTTATTAGAAATTAATTATAATTAGTTAATTTTAATCGAATGATTTAAAAGTTTCAAGAAATTTGATGTAAATTAAAAGAATTTGATTTTTATTCCATTAAAAATTTAATGTATAAAATTCAACAAACAAAATTTATAAGTGGTTACCCGGCTCCAGAAGAATTCTTGGTTTATGTTGATACAAAGAATAAGTTCAAGTTCTGAAATTAAAAATAAATACTAAAGCAATTTAATTTAACACAACTTAAAAAACTATTGGTAATAAACCAAAATATACCTTTCATAGTTATAGACAAATTTATCCAATTTCGCATAAAGAACAATCCATCAAACAAATATCTAAAAAAAATAAAAAAAAAAAAACAAAAAACAAAACCAAGCATATAACAGTAAAAATCATATTCCTATTTAGTAAAGAAAACTCAATACTATTCAATAGAACCATTAAGAAATAACCATGAAATACCTTTCATAAAAATTGACAACAAATAAATCAATAACACTGTAAAAATATAAATAATAAACTAATAAACACTATCAAAAGGACAATCAATCAAACAAATAACTAATGCAAATCAGAACGATAAGCCGAAGAAGAAAAAGTTGACCGATAACAAACAGTAAAACATTTCCTTAAATTAACGCCAATAGAGTTGAACAGCTGATCATTCCTACCTACAACCAACAAGAGCTCAGGACCCCGGGTTCGCTAAGACCCGTAAACACGTAAGAACGTGTTCCCCTGGGGGATAACAAATTCCTATACAAATCACAATAAGAAGCCTAAGCACACAAAGAGACTTAAAACAATAAGTAAAAACATTTACCTAAATCTAATCCAAAAGAGTTGAACAGCTGATCATTCCTACCTACAACCAACAAGAGCTCAGGACCCCGGGTTCGCTAAGACCCGTAAACACGTAAGAACGTATTCCCCTGGGGGATTACAAATTACAATACAAATCACACTAAGAAACTAAAGCACACAAAGAAACTTAAAACAATAAGTAAAAACATTTAACTAAATCTAATCCAAAAGAGTTGAACAGCTGATCATTCCTAACTACAACCAACAAGAGCTCAGGACCCCGGGTTCGCTAAGACCCGTAAACACGTAAGAACGTGTTCCCCTGGGGGATTACAAATTCCTATACAAATCACACTAAGAAACTAAAGCACACAAAGAGACTTAAAACAATAAGTAAAAACATTTACCTAAATCTAATCCAAAAGAGTTGAACAGCTGATCATTCCTACCTACAACCAACAAGAGCTCAGGACCCCGGGTTCGCTAAGACCCGTAAACACGTAAGAACGTGTTCCCCTGGGGGATATCAAATACCTAAACAAAACAAAAAAAAAAAAAAAAATGCCAATGAACAAAAATCAAACCTACATAAAGCAGTGAAAGAAATTACCTAATTCATAGCCAATGATGATGAACAGCTATTCAACACTACTTAAAAACAATGAATTAAAATATATTCTAGAATACCTAAACATCAATATAGACAATAAATATATCATCCCTACCAACAAACAACCAAGAAAAAGTAAGAATTACTAAACATAAAAATACACATCTCTAATTAGAAGTCAAAAATAAATGACCAGCTGTTCAACTCTACCTACAAACAACCAATAAGATGTAAGAATTACAAAACATAAAAATACACATAAAATATATACAACAAAATAATACATATCAAAAATCTTAAAAGAAATACCAAATGAACAATTTATCAACAATGCATTAAACAATAAAAATATAATACCTAAATAAAAACCAAAACTTATATACTATTAGACACGACCTACAAAAA